CGCTTACTCCCACATTTTGCGCAAGATGCTATATCCCACTCCTATTCTTCTATTTAGTCAGAAAAGAAGTTGAGTCTGTGTGACCACTGTTATTATCATCCTAATTTAATTAAATAACTAGTTCTCTGGCAGCCACTCCCAGTTTACAAGAGCAATAAATAAAAATTAGTGATAAACTTGATGAATATAAGTAATTTAAAAAAAATATATAATTTTATTACCAATTAAAAAAAAAACATGATTTTCACAATTTTTTTTATAATGTAAGCCTAAGGAATCTATTATGTTACTTTAGCATAAAAATCGCAGGTGTTACTCTCAAGGTTAACACGTCGACTGCTCTGATTTTCATTATTTCGAAACTCAACTAAAATTCGATTTTGAGACAAGAAATATGATATTAATAAAAATAAATATAATTCCCTTAGTAGAAACTTCATTTTTTTCATTTCAATTTTTGAGTAGTTACTATATAGTTATATTAACTTCCGTCTATAGTAATTGAGGAACAAAACTATCTGGGATCTCAATCAAAATGTAACGCTTTTTCTGCAGTTACTGCGTACAAAAGACGTGTGAAATCTAAACCCATTTATTGAATAAAAACCGAAAAATAAATGGACAAGAAACTAGTTAATTAATTAATAAGCAAACCTGTTGCTCATGAAATGGCCAGTTTTGCCCTAGAAATACTTCTGAATAAAGCTAACAAGTTCTTTTTCAAGGTCTGTTTCCTATGCAGTTACAACTTGTTATAACTAATGAGAATGCATTAATATTAGACAGTAATTGAATAGATATCGAAAATCAGAAAAACTGCATATATTTCTATTAGGATCATGATATATATATCTGTTATCTCGCTTCATTGACTCGCTATTGATTATATATCTAATTTATTACGTCTAATCGGTACGTTTTATACGTGAATAGATGCAGTAGTATCATAGCCAGTCCTGAAAAAAACTTTGGGAAGGAGGTCAGACTCGACCCTGTCGGCAGGGACGACGAGGGTTGATCCGGAAATTCAGGATGCTACGAGCACGTGCAGCGTGTAACGCCGTTCATGACTTAACACGGTGTCTGGCTTCGGCGGTGCTTCGCCGGTCGGTTGAAACTGTCGGTGCACAATGCCGCATTGTTTCGTTGTTGTAGCCATCTAGCCGGTAGCACACCGAGGCCGAGGCGATGTTTATTATCCTCCTTTGCGCAACAAAACAAAATATCCTTCCCGCGTTATATTATCCTTTCTTTGCGAGCGCGCGAGCGAGTGAGTTCGTGGTCGCGAATCAGTTTCCCATATAAAATCCGGCAGGCCGGTACACCGTCGTATTTTCAGGCGGTGCACGAATAGGGATGTTGTGGTACTATTGATTTAATACTGGTATTGGTATTTTTCTTTCAATACCGAACATTTCTGTATCTCCGATATTTTCCTTCAATATTCGTAGCTAAATCAATATTATTTGGTTTCGATATCTCTTTTTATTTTTTTTACGCGGTCGATCTTCAAGATATATATTTTGCTTCATGAAAATTAGTGTAACATGGAACTTACGTTTTAAACCTATCTTTTCTCATGATTTCTGTTAATTTTATGGTTATTTATTGAGTGTTAAAATAAAAAAAGCGTCCGGATATTTGTACAAGTGCGTGGAATCGATCACGAGTGTTATTTGATGCATATATTATTTTATTTTCGTATATGCAATAATTTTCAACAATAATATTTAACATACGAACAATAATATTTAACATTCTTGCTTCTGACGTAATCAAACAAGGATAATTGTAGCGAGGACACATGAGTCTTAATATATCTTTTTTAAAGCTTTTAGATAACAAACCGTAGTCTAGTGCAGAAGATAGAAGTCTTTAGTGCAGAAGGTAAAAATATCTTTATACAATAGTAAGATTATGCGTAGACCTACTTTAAAAATAACTTGCAAGATAAACACTTTTCTGATTTTTATATTAGGTTGTTGCAGATGAAATGGCCGTTTTTGAATTTTGAATTTAAACTTTTATTCGACACACTTTATATACATCTTGTCAATCGAAATGATCTCCATCCATCTCAATATACTTTCCCCAACATGATACAAGCGTATCAATGCCTTTCATGTAAAATTGAAAGAGCGAGATGCAAGAAATTCGTTGAATGCATTTTTCACGTCATTTTATGTTTGGAATATTCTTTCACTTAAAAAACTATCCAGATACTTAAACAAATGTTAATTTGTTGGAGAAAAGTCAAGAGAATCAGGAGAGTGAAGCAAAACTTCGCGTTTGCATTCTGCTAATTTTTTTACAGTTTGTTTCGCAACATACGATCTAGCATTATTATAGAGCAATAACATACTGCGTCTAGTTAATAACGTTGGCTGTTCAATACGCATTTTTTCCGTCACAACGTCAATTTCTTGAAGGTATTTGTCAGTATTTAAACCTTCACTCTTTTTCAAGTTTTCACGATGAATGCAATATCCTTAGCAGACTACCATACAGATACCAAAACCTTATGAAGGCTCGGTTTCGACATGTATTTCGGAGCTTGATCAACATCTAATCACTGCGCAGAACGTCGACGATTGTTATAAAAGATCCATTTTTCACCACGCGTTACTATTAGATCCTTTCATTATTGTGTCGGGAAAGCAAAGAAGAGCTGATTTTCATGCAGCGAAGCTTGTCTCTCTCAGTCAGTTCATGTGAATACTCACTTGTCAAGCTTTTTCACTTTCCCCATGGCCTTAAGGTGCCGGAAAACAATCAAATAGTGAAACGCTGATGCTATGTGCAATATCTCGATATTTGAATATCTGATAAAAACGCGAATTTGCATCAACCATATCTTTCAAAACATTGCCATCAACTACTGACGGTACGTGGTTGCGAGACAAATTATCGAGGTTTGTATCACCAGGCCGGAACTTTGCGAACCAACGTCTGGTGGTTCGATCATTTACAGAACTTTCTCCAAAAGCAGTGTTTATGTTTCGCGTTGCCTCGGCCGCACCATGAGCAAGTTTGAATTCATACAAAAATATTATCCGTATTTCCTTACTTTCCACGTCGAAAAAAACAGTGACTTTCAACGATGTGAACAATGTGATGAAAGTAAGATTATGCGTGCGAATTCACGCGTGAGGCATATACTTTTCAAATATCACACATACAACGACAGCTGCATGAGAAAAACTAAATTACTCAGCCGGGGAATTTTAATGATGAAAAACCATTTCATCTGCAATAACCTATATATTTCTTTTTTTAATTCAGATACCACCAGTATCGGTATCGACATATCCGTTCTGCTTCTCTGCGTTATCACTAGTGATATCGATACTCTTGATTAGATACTCGATTTAATATACCAATACTTTCACGATATCACAGCATCCTTACATAACGATGAGGCGATGCGAGAGACTCGGCGAGGCTAGTTGAACCTCGGCTTCCCATCGTAGGAAACGGATGCCCTGGAACAGATAGACGGACAGATAGATAGGCACATATCCATGCTTTTGCGTCACCATAAAACTGGCGTTTCATGGAAAGCAGCGGAGGTTCGCGACGTTATACGCGATTACCGGGCGATACATTAGCGATACGCCGCACGTCAGGGAGGTACGTTCGAGAGGGAAGAGTGGGGAGAAAAATCGTCCGAATGTCGGATTGAGAGCCGCGAATGCGAAGCGAAGGTATCGAGGCTTGCGCGACCACATTTCACGCACATTTTCCTTCGCGTCCTACATGCGAATACGAAAGAGGCCATCCATCCACCGCTGGTACGAGTCAAGTTTCCACTTTCATGGATGGCTGCCGACCTGCGCTCACGCGCGCGCGCCTCACGATTTTATTTTCGTCGCCAGCGACGATTCGCGAACAATTATTACGTCCTTTAGATGGAAAGTCCCCTTTCTCCCGAAAGCGGCGGCCGGTGGGCGAGCAGAATCGTCGCTGGATGGATCCGCGAAATAGAGGTCTCGTTGTGCCAACAGTGAAAGCGACTCCGCGGCGCGCGATTCGATCTCCGATCAGCCTTGGCACTATTAGATGCGAATTGAATTCTGCGTCTCGCGACGCGCGCGGATCTCCTCTCTCGCGCGCGAGCGCTCGACGGGGAGGAGGCGAGAGAGAAAAAGGGGGGACGGGGAACTGGAAGGAAGCCGCGAAAGCCACAGGATATTGGCGGGGGCGGAGGAAGGAGAGTGAGAGACAGAGAGAGGGGGA